CCTTTATCTGTTTACAATGAAGTCCAGAGTCAGTTTCACCTCCCTGCAGGCGATATATTTTGAAGAAAATATTGATTTTTCAAATGCAGCACATCTTATTTTGGAGCAAAAATCTTTCAGTACAGTTCATCTGATTTTGTGTGATGGCAACTCAATTTCAGATGCCAGTTTTCCTCACTTGAAATTAAGGCTGACAATGTTTTAGCTCTGTGTGTTCATGTGTGTGTTTGTGTGTTGCATTAGCTTATGTTTTATCTATCAGTCATTACAATAAACAACAGTGATGCTGAGGTCTCCGTCTACAATCAACAACTGAAGCTCAGATGAGTTCTAATGTTATTTATTTTGTGAAGTTGTAACAGTGTTTGTTTGGTTAGTTGCCCTCTTGTTTATCAGTAGGTCTTTCCCATCCTCCTTCCATTGCCAGTTTATTTCTCCCATATTGTTTCAGTTCTTATATGCAAGAGTATTTATTTCCAAAAGTGCACAAAAACTGATGAAAATTTTGTCCTATGAACATAAGACTTTTTAAAAAAAAAAAAGAGAGATATAAGTTATAAAGCTTCAACATAATCAAATGGACACGCACATCTCCACCCCCACGCTGAGCGCACACGTGCCGCAATCTCCATAAATTAGGGCTGTCAGCGTGTGTGAGGGTGTAATAAATGACACCTGGTAATGAGCACGCCATTCTCAGCCAACCAGGGGAGACGGAAAGGGTTTGGGTAGAAGTGTGGGGGTGGCAGAGGTCACAGGTCAAGGGTCAAGGTCAGCTCCTGTGGGGTTTGGCTTTAGATGGCAGGGACACCCCTAAATTAAGGGATGTGGTGACACAGGGGGAGACATGGGGGTACCCCAACAGGGAATTGGCGTGTGTCGCAGCCAGCTGGGGTGAAGATATTATATAAATGGAATATTCATGCTCATTTCAATTGTCACAAAGTAACTGCCGCCAGCATGACTTAGCAGATTGTTGACAGCTTGATATATGTCTATTTGAGTGTGACCCTGTGTGTGATATGAAAAGCCATTTTTACACTCAATGTCATAAGGTATTTTTGTAGCTTAACACAGAGCTTATATCCTCTGCAGCGACGACACACTGCTATTTACAAAACGTAAGAAAAAGAAAATCTCAAATGAGTAAAAACGGCCACCATCACTGATTTTCGAATAGCACTTACCTGTTTAATAGACCTGTAATATATTTCTTTCCACCAACATCTACCTACAAGGGTGAGCATGCACGTACGTGGAGATGTTATCAAATGAGGACTGCCGCGTCGGCCATCTTAGCTGTGCATTTGTGTTTTTGTGTCTACCGGCGTATGCCTGTGATGCCTGTTCACTGACGCAGCATCAGCAGCCCACACCATAAATACTGCATGGCCTCAAAAAATAGAGAGAATGGAGGGAACGAGGGAAGAAGGAGGGAAAAGGAGAGGAAAAGAGATGAGGAGGAAACAAAGAGGAGGGGAAAAGCCTCGGTTGTTAAGATGAAGGGCGGCAGAGGGGGGGAAAGGAGGGGAACGGAGGAAGGGATTTTTTTTTTTTTTTTAGGTTGGGGGTGGGGTGGGGTGACTAAGAGATAAAAGAGGAGTGAGTTGATGCGAGTGTGTTTGTGTGATGAGCGGATGGCCTCGGGGAGCGGCCGACTCTCTGAGCTGCTGTGCGGATGTGCTGACGGGGCTCCGGGCCAGTTTGCTCACTCACTCGGGCCCTCTGCTGCGCTCACCTGCCAAAAGGACAAGGGGTGGGGGGGGGGGGTGGGGGGAACAGGTGAGATGTGTACGGCGGGGTGGGGTTGAGACAGGAGGAGAGCGGGAAACTGGTAAAGAATTTGGAAAAATGAATGGGGGGGGGGACTGAAGAACGGAACAGAGCAAGGAAACATAAGACATCAGGGAAAAGTGGGAGGAGAGGAAGCGAGGTGACCTTATGATAACAGGTTAAGGAGCAAAAAAAGAAGAAAAAAAAGGTAGTTGACAGGCTGGCAAGGTTGAGAAGTGGTTAGATAAGGTGCTTCTATCCTCCGCTGGCAGCTGAGGGGACACGAGATACAGCGAGTGAAACGCGGCCTTCTGTGAGGAAGTATTCAGTGAACAAACTTGACATGCCACTGGTGCAGCTGTGCGCACACCCTCTGCATGTACAGTGCGCGTGCACGCATATATGTGTGTGTGTGTGCCTATTCGCATGCATGCACAAATGGAGTAAAGCCGTCTATGAGTGGGCATAATGAGCACTTGTGCATAATGTGAAGTGAACAGTATGCTTGCGTGTATGAAGATGCGTGCGCAATTGATCCGCAGTGTGTGAAAAGAACAGGCACAATGTGTTTGCATCTCGACAGAGATCACTCTCAACACATCGAATCATCTTTTCAACCGTCGTGATGAAACGGAACTGCTGTTACCCTCTGACATGTGGATGTCACTTTGACTGCGGAGAGTTCGCCTGTGCTCCAGTGTTTCCATACACTCGCATCCACACAGAAGGTTGTGTTACTGAAGAGTTGTCATAATGCAGACATAAGAAACTTGTAATATGGGAGCGTGTTGAATGGGGGGTCTTTATGCAACATCCCAGGGAAGCCAGCAGATTGAGACTAGTGTTGCTGAATATGGAAAGAGGGCATACAGCAAAGGCTGCTGGGAGTTTCTGATTGGCTGCTAATGTTGCTATCCAAGCTGGGATTGGTGGAGCTGACGCAGCCCGACATCACGTTGTCGGGACTAAACCCTTTTGAACTGAGGCAAAGCAGTGAGGCACGGATCTCAAAACACACACACACACACGCATGCACACACACACTCACAGATACACACCTACATATACACATTAAAAGGAAGTATTGCATGCCACTGAATATGTAGCTATACATGATAGTTGTACAGGCACTCCAACATAGTGTGTAGATAAAGCAGGACGGGCTCAGTGTTGATATGTCAGGAGAAAACGGAATTCGTAATGTTCCCGGGCTCGTCTCCATATACGATGATCTCAAGTGAATCTGTGCAGTTAAAAGGGAAAAAAGAGCGAACTTCCTTAACTTCTCCATTCTCTTTTAAGCCCAGCTCTAAGGTGGACAGAATAAATTGGAGCTTAAGCATGCGTGAAGGCACAGCCAGCGGGCCCCTTTCCACCTCTCCACGCCACATTTGTCAAATCAGAGGAATTTCGGCTACACGTGAACCCAGAATCGGAGAAGAGAGAGGCGGCAGGGAGTAGCGCTCCCAGAAAAAGACATTTGAGTACATTTGAGTTCGCGGTTCGAAGGATGTCACCTGGTCTTAACTGTGACAAAAAAAAAAACAAAAAACAAAAAAAACACAACTACCGGAGTGCATAGACAATAAGCTGCATGCTATTAATAAAACATGAGATGAGACAAGGCAGTGAGTCAGGGGAAATGCATGACTACTCGTTTGGCCTCACTGCCATCGCCCCGTGGCGTGTCGGCTCGACTCTGCGTGTGCCTTTGCCCGTAGTAAGACGTGTCTCTGCCTTTGGCTACAGGAGAACAGGAGAAGAATCTCTTCTGATCGGCATTCTTACGGTTATGGGATGAACCCCAACGCTCAACAGTTTCTGCTTCCCCTGGCTCCTGCTGTAAACCCACCTCCCGCCGAACAGGTGAGGTGAAATGTGAAAAAAAAAACAAAAAACCAAAAGCGTAAGATGTATTTAGCATGTTGGCTGTGAAACATGCACGAACATGGCTGACATTTTTTGTGTATTCGGGTCACACGGTGTATGAAAGAGCAATCATGACAGATGTAAAAGAGATGACAGAACTGACGTGGGTGAACGTCGCTGAGTGTGTAGTGTGTAGTGAGTGTGTGTGTGTGTGTGTGTGCGCGTGTGTGAGCCTGTTTTAAAGCTGAAGGTCGGGCCTATGAATCTTTGATCCATCTCTTCCCAACTTGTCATGCCCCTCCCTACATTCAACATGAGTGAGCAGAGTACCTCTTTGCCTGTCCTTTCGCTCTCACACATACATGCACACACACAGCCTCCCCGTGCCCTCCCGGTGCATTAATGTTCTTACATCACCTCCTCCAGTGAGCAGAGAAAACAAGAGAGCAAGAGACTCGGAAGAGAAGAGATGGGGAGATGGATTTTTTTTTTTGGATGGGGTGGGGGTGGGGGGGTTGAGGTTCTTGTCAACGTTGAGGGGGAGGAGTTGAGAGATGGGTCGGGAAGAGATGTGTGTCATTAAAAAGGAGAGGTGAGGGGACCAGGACTCAAAAGCTATGAAGTTAAATATATGCAGCGCACTGTATAGAATATGTAATGTCGGAATATGGATCAGAACCCAACCGAATAACCTCCCTGCAGCATTTGAATTCATTCGGTGAAATATTAAAACCGTCACAGTAAAGTTTTTCAAAATGTACCAGTTTCCTGTGATTGACAACTTCAGAACTGCCATCAAGGGAATAAACCCACCAATGAAACGCAGAGAGCACAATAAAACAAAAGTTCAGACATTATTCGACCCAGAAAAGAACAAATTTAGTATCGTCAGTGAATCAGTCAGAGGCGCGGACGTGACGTGAATAACGAAAAGGCGAAGATTCCTCAGCTGGTTCACGATGGACAAAGTACATGCCACGCACATGCTCCAACACAGAGAGAGGTTCTCTTTCTTTTTTTCTTTTTTTTTTTTTTGCAGTTGGGGCTTGAACACGCACCACACTGGTGTGTCTCTCCATGGATGGCTGGATCTCAGACACATTAACACTGTCTGGCGTTGACTTACACCCATGAGACCCCCTCCTCCCCCCACACCCTCCACCCCCATCCCCAACCCTCACCCCACCGCCACCACAACGCACACGCAGGCACACGTCTGGGCATCATCCTTCTGCTCTAATACACCCCGTGCCCCTCGGGACGGGTCTTATTTGAGGGCAACGTTTGGGTTTGCGTGAGTGTGTGTGTGAGTGTGTGTGTGTGTGTGTGTGTGTGTGTGTGTGTGTGTGTGTTGTTACCTTGTGTAGGATCGTGGCTCTCCCAAAAGCGTTTGAGCAATTTCTCAAGGCTGATGTCTTCAGGGGAGAAGACCACCCTCACAACCTCAGTGTGACCCGTCAGACCTAAAGGAGAAACACAAACTTGCGTTAATCAGAATCAAGTTGGATGACGCGTTTCACTTATGATGTCTGCTTGACTCATCACTCCCTCAGACCAGAACAACTGACCAACACCAAAGTCCACATAACGAAGCCTGTATGGAAAAAAAAAAATTCATATGAATAGCATGCTAATGTGTTGGGTGTACATGTGCCACTGGTAGAAGACATTCAGGTTGAAGCCACACAGAGATATGTTATTGCTTATGGCACAATGGGAGAGAGAGTGACAGAGAGAGGTGCAGATAGAGAAAAAGAGAGAGAGAGAGAGAGAGAAAGAGAGAGCAAGAGTGGGCACAGTAAAGGTTGGAGCTTATGGTGGAGGTTGCCAAAAGCGCACACACACACATACACTCGCTCCTGTCTGCAGCTGCCAGGACCCCAGAGCTTCAACAAGCTGCCTGCAGGCATTCTCAAACTGGGTTCTGCTTTAGGTCTCACATGCAGGTGTAAGCACACGCACGCACACACACACACACACGCATGCATGCACGCGCGCACACAAACACAGTAGAAAATGTATACTCACACACCTCACCCGAACATACCATTGCTAAATGTTAGCTGTGTTAGCTTAGGATTGTATCAATAGTAGAGTTTACGTTCTCTTGTTCGCACATTCCACAGACACGTGCGCAGGTGTACACACACGGACACAGTATACACACACACACACACACACACACACACACACACACATGCCCACACGCCCACACAGATAGATGCATCAGGTGCATTGCAGACAATAGGAAAAAGCCTGCCAAATTCATGCATCAGGCCTGAGACCCACTTTCTGTCTCGAAATGACACTCAGCACACCCAGAGGCCCAAAGGATCATCTTGTGCCAGATCATCATGGAAGACTTCACCTGTTTAAACAGTCGTTGCCTAAATCGAGAACGGGAACACTTTTCAGATGAGGTTACAACAACGAGTATTCAGTCTTTGCTGGAGCTGTTCACATTTTGGTTTCATGGTGGCATAAGTTATAAGGACAAATTATATTTACATACCTGTACATATACACAGTCTCTCACCATATGGGACGACACACTTAGTTGAAGGCTAACATTCATGGCACAGGAACATCAACAATGGTAGAAAGCAGTACAAAGAGAAAACACAAACGCAACAAAATAGCTGTTAGGACCTGTTGGAAAAAAAAAGTGAATATGCTCCATGATTTTCCACGCTTGTCCCACCTGAAGGGGGTGAAAGGCTGAGAAGTGATGCAGACCAGCACCACTAAAGCTGCTAGAGATTCAATGTTTTGCTGAAGCACACTTCAGCAGGGTGAATGGCCTTCTGGGTGATGACAGCCTCCCAAATCAACATGCCACCCCGTTGCCCTTTTTTGTTTAATTGTTCCCGGCTGTTGAAAAAAGTAACAAGTGACTTCTTCAAGTTAGGGTTCTTATACTTTTCAATATACTATTATTAGGTGGCTTAACTAAAAATAAAATAGACAGAAACCACAAGAAACCAGAAAAACAGCACTATTTGACACTTCCAATACTTACTTAATGACTCATGTTAACATTTCCCTGACGAGCAACCATGTGAGATAATTATTGTCATCTCTAGAGCTGGATTTATACCTCAGTGTTAAGAGGTTATGACGTACCTATGGCAACAACATGCGTAGGCTCTGAAGCCACACTTTAACTGACACGCGGCTCGTCAAAAGTGTAACCGCATGCTACAGAGGCTATGGAGATAAAAATGTGGACACTTGCATGTATTGTGACCGGCTTGTGTTTCTGATGCTGGTCATGATGGATGAGAGTGAAAACAACATGAAGCATGTTAAATAAAAAAAAAAGGCAGCGTTATCTTCTCCATTTCAGAGACGCACATATAGCAGAGCCATTTACACCGAGAACCTTCTGCTATCACCCGTCTCCATCAAAGTGACTGAAGCAACGTAAACACGCCGCCTGCATGGAATATACCCATTCTGAGTAATGAAACCAGGCAGGCCGTCCCGCCACCGCTCCTATCAGAAACACAGTTGCTGTGGGGAGTATAATTAAAGCGTGATACGGCTCAGTCATGTATGATATACTAGTTTACTGTGATACCAACAAGTGAAATCCAACATGTGCCATGAGTCAAAACCTGCACCACAGGTATCTACAGCAGGAGACATGTTAACTAACCCCTTGTGTCAAGGACTGAGGTTGTGTGGCATTTGTTACACCACTGCAAATCCTCTGTTAGAGGAAGTCAAATTGGACGGCTGGGTAAACAAAACATGTGACTCAAGGAAACCGTAGCTTATGTCTCGTCTCGTACCAACAGTCAACGCTGGTTTCTGTCCTCGAAGCATGACCACAGTCTTTCCCTGGCCTTCACCAGGAGTTAGTTGCCTAGACTTGTGCAGAGGGGAAAACACCGCGTCATTTGGGTCACACGTGAAAGATGCTGACAACAACATCAGCAACCTATTTTCTTGTAACGTTTTCAGAACTTTGGAGCTAAAGCATAAAAGGTTATACTGATTCTTTACTGTGAATTAGTCGGGATAAAATATGCTGATGTTGATAATACCTCTCGGCCGTCTTTATCGTCTGTCCTCTCAAGACAAACCTGGCTGCACCTCAACCTCTCTTATTTCTGTCTGTCAGACCATCCACCTATCTGCCTGTCCTTCCATCCTTCCCTGGCTCTGCTGACAGGTCCATCAGCCCCTTCTTTCCTGTCCGTCCGTCCGTCTGTCTGTCTGCCCTGGCTGTGTTGACAGCTCCTCGGTCTCATGCCGTCGCAGTGTTCTGCTCCGTCATGGCCACTGGAGCGACGCCTGCACTCTCTCAGCCGATGGACAGGCAACCGTTCTTTCTCACACTTTTTTTTTTTTTTTTTCCCTTAAATTTTCTTTCCCCTCAAAAGTTTATTTTACCAGTTCCCTCACTTGCTGCAGGTCTCAATCTCTCTTTCTCTGTCATCTGTCTCCATCTTCGTCCTGACCATCTTGTTGCTGGGGAGCTGACAGAGAGAGAGAGAGAGAGAGAGAGAGAGAGAGAGAGAGAGAGAGAGAGACTGGGAGGCAGACAGATAGGAAACATACAATCCCTTGAAGGGCTCGGCTCAGAAAGTCTGCCAGCCAAGCCCAAAGCATCTTTCCCCTCCTCTCCATGTCCCCCATGCTGTGCCTGCACCTAGACTCCACGCCTGCCTGCAATGATGTGCCCTCAGAAATGGAGCAGCCCCAAACTAACAGCTCATGACTTCTAAAACACAGGAGAGGCGCACGGGGTAAAGCAGAGCCCAGACGTCTTCATTTGAATTATATATCAACTCCCTACATGATCTATTTGAATCTCGTGATGAGGTTAACAGAAAGAAACAGATTCAGAGACACAGAGAGGTAGCCAAACATTTTCACAGCAAATATACA